CTCCCTTTATTGCCTTGATTCCCTCCTAAGAAAGGATATCCCCAAAACCCAATTATTCCTTCTAAAGTTTTCTCTCGGGTTTTTCCCTTTTCTTCCATCTTTCAGACCGAGAAGTGCTCTCTTTCTCAGTCTTAATTCTTGAGCAAAACTCACAAAATTTATCTCTGAAATTCATCCCAAAGCCCTCGCAATAATCCCCCTCCTCGGCACCTCTCAGCCGCGCGCGCGAGCCCTGTGAGCAGCCAACCGCGAGCTCTCAGCCGAGGGCCAAGGCAGCAGTGAGACCCCTAGCCCGCGGACGGGCAGCATCCTCCCGCAGCACCATTCACACCGAGGAAACCTAAGCAGCAGCAGCCAAGCCCCTCCGTGAGTTTGCCGAGATCGCCGCAAGGACACCAAGGCCACACGCGAGCAGCCGCAAACCTCCGAGCGCGAGCCGCATCCGAGTTCAAAAAATCTGATCTTCAACCTTGCTTGTAGATTCCAGAAGCAAGGTGAAAAATTTCAGATCTTCTTTGGTTCATTTTATGTTGTTAATCCTTAGTTGTAGATCTATCTTCAAAAATCAAGATCTATTAATTTTTGTGGAAGAATTCTTGAATCCTTGATTTTGTGGTGTTTTGTGAAAATATGTGGAGATTGGAACTCTCCTTTGTGTCTCGGAAATTTTGGAAAAGAGTGAATGTAGTGCTCCATTCGAATAATAAGAGTTGACATTTTTTATATTTGTGATGAATGTCTTTGGTGTATTTATTTTAGTCGCTCGACTAGACTATTCTTGAAGCTTAAAGATTATTAATCTAATAAGCTATTTAAATCGTATAGTAGATATGTTTGTCTACTTATCGTGATTTCGAAATTTTAGAATATATTCAATAATCAAAATTTGTTTGAGGTTCTAAATCCAAGTTAGACGGTTTTGCCTATCCGAGTTATTTTGATCAAGTAATTTGGCAAACGCACCCTTGTCAAATAATTCTTGTAACTTATCCAATCAAAGCTCAAAGTGCCGGCCAATGTTCATTGTGTGATCAAGTTGATTTAAAAAATATTTTGTAACCTCCACTCTTATGACGTTATCTAATGGCAATTAACTGAGCAAATTTCCACCCAATTCTCACTTGTGAAACCGACCAAATATACCTCTTCAGTATGTCATTTGATTGCACATTCAAACCTGTAACTCACCTCAAATTGCATTAAATTATAGCATTAAGCCATTTTGATTTCTTCAATTCGTTTTGGCTAAAAACCGAAAAGAGAAGGCCAACTTTCTGTTTATGGTGTTTACAGAAGGCCAAATCTCTGTTTCTGTCCAACTTTATATGCCTTATCCAAGATGCAGAACTGGTGGCCAACATTGAGAAGCATACCTACCCTTCTGAGTTACAGCACATTGATTTTGATACACTTTATGTCAGTTGTATTTTTTAGCTTTGGTGTAGGAATGGTGGGCTTGTTAGCCTATTAGAGTTGAAGTGTAATCCTTCTCATGCCTTGGGGTTGGACCTCTATACCCTTGTTGGTTGTAATTATTTGGTTACCGATGTAAACGTTTATTTGAGTTTATCTAAGTTTATGTTTGCCGTTGGAAAAAAAAAAAAGAAAAAGAAAAGTGAAGGCAAGATTTCATTTTTTCCACGTAGCAAAGAGTCTCTTTATTCTTTGACATTCAGCATTTTTTTTTCCTTGGCAAATCCCAGTCTCTCGCTCTTTCATCTCTCTCGAATAAACTATGGAATCCTGGAGCAAACTTGAAGAGGAATCCATCCAAAACTCCACCGAGCTTTCGAAGTCCCGGTCTTTTTGCTCGTCCCGTCCGATTTTTCAACCGAGCTTGTAGATTCCTGAAGAAAGGTATACCGATCGAACCTCCTCATTATTATTGCTCAAGTTGAATTAGTTCGGTTATTATTCTCGTTCGTTAAATCGATTTCTGTTTGTTGGGTGGATATCGGTTCGTATGTTCGTGTTGATGCCTTATGATTTTGACGTGGAATGGAATTCTCGATTGTATAAATCGAGCTCTTGGTGGCTGTGAGTAATCCGTATAAGATTTTCCTTCGAGCCTTTAATGTTGCTCTGTTCATATCGTTTAAAATTTGGAGCCTCGTCGTTTATTCCCGAAACCGTGTGTTGTGGTTTCGTTTTTTTTTTCTCGAACCAATTAAACCCGATTTCTTTTAGATTTATGAACTCTGAAATTGATATTACTTTTGGAGAATTTTCTGGAAATTTTGCGAATCGGGTTCCCGAGCGATCGTTGTCAAAGTTCATTGCCGGATTAATTATTTCTGTCGCGAGCAGATACACCAGGCTCCTTCCTTTCAGTCCGCAAGATTCTGTGCATTAAATAGAAATTTGTATGTTTGATATGGAATATGAAAATGCAACATGAAAGAAAAACTGATTGCAAATTCCACCATTGACATTTAATTGGCAGCAAGGTAT